TCATATGTGGCCAAACCAAATCGAGATGTGCTCTATATTGAAATTCACACCGGGCTTTGAAGACTGAGTTTGAACAGAAGAATGTAAAATTCCTCACTAACAATTTGTATATTGATTTCATAATATAGTGGACATATTGGGTTAACTAAAATATTTTATTAAAATTAATTTCATGGGGTGCCTGGATGGCTTGGTCGGTTAAGCGTCCGACTCTTGATATCCCCAACTGAGCCACCTAGACCACCCCTCATTGGATCTATTTTAACGGCTATGTTCCTAACTTCTTAATTTAGCTAATTAAATCATTACTTTTTGCTGTTTTTCATGTTAATATGAGCAATTAAGACTGTACATTTCCCCTAAAAACCAAGTCAGTTGCACCTCACAAGTTTTTTTTTTCACAAGTTTTTTTTTAAGTGTACAATTCATCCCACAGGTTTTGACATATATGTTTATTATTATTACTTATCTTTCAAATTTAAATATTTTCAAATTCAAATTTTCAAATTTTTCAAAGTATCTTTTAAAATGGATATAATTTAGTTGCACTATGTTCAGAGAACTTTGTCTGTATGATACTGATTCTTTTAAATATGTTAGGATTTACTTCATGACCAGGTATATACTCAAAGTATAATCTTCACTTCCTGTTTTCTATATAATCAGTGTGATCAAGTGTATTGTTTGCTGGAATAATCCCTTATTTATTTTCAGTCAGCTTGTTCTATCAGTTACTCAAAGATGTATGTTAAAATCTCCCAGTATGCTGGCAGATTTGTCAACTTTTTTTATCCTTCTGTTACTTTTTACTTACATAGTTTGAAGCTGTGTTATCAGGTGCATAAGAGTTTAGAAGTTCTTATGTTATTCAGAAATTGAAACTCGATGTACCTGTTTCTTTTTAATTTTTTAAATGTAGCTACTAGAAAATTTTAAATTATGTTTGGCTTGGGTTATCTTCTCACTGGACAGCACTGGTCTAGAGAAAGGATAAGCAAGGAGCCCACACCAACCAAGTCCTGGAAGACTAAGGACTTGACTGTAGAAAATAATAAGCAAAGAGAAGAGAGTGTTAGCAGCCCTGCTGAAGTACCATACTCTGTCTTCCTCTCTTGCTGCTGGAGTCTAGATAGGAAATGAGACCAAGATGTTTGTGAAAAGCAGAAAGGAGATGAAAAACAAGACAGAAAAGGATGAAAAAGCAGAACATGAGAAAAAGCGGCCAGGGAAGAAGGAATTGTACACATATAATAGAACAACTACTTCTGCTCTGAACTCAATACATTTAAGCCTTTAAATATGAACATGACAGTATTAAAAACAGCCTTAATGTTCAAAAGGCAGAACTATTATTCCACTAACGTAGAGCTTTTTCATTTGTTATTTTTTACCAAATTTCTCTCTTTGAATTAATCATATCATATGATACTTAACTATAATGATTCCAGATACTAAAAACTTGAAGGGAAAAGGAGAAGGATTTGTAGGTTTTAGGAGTTGGTGAACCATCCAATAACTTAATCCTGGATATTTTCTTCATGCCGGAAGAAGAAAACAGAACTATCTTGCATGGCCTCAAAAGACAAACCAAGAAATATGCTTTTCCTTTAGGATGTGGGGGAATTCTTAGCAGAAATCCAGGAGTACAGAGAAGGCAGATCAGAGAAGTAGAAACAAGTACAGAAAGTATGACAGTACAAAAGCAGAGGGAGAAGAGGTTCTCAGAAGTGTTTGCAGCAAGAAGGCTGAGAGCTGAGATATGGTAAAGCAGTTTGGCCAGAGAAACTCTTCCCTGACAACATTGCTTTTGTTTTCCCCTCAGCTCCGCCTGTCCTGCTGCCTGACTTGGGAGACTGGGGCATAGAGGTAACTGCACTTGCCGTGAGCATATGGGACATGGGCCATAGCCAAGTAGAAACGGATCATGACTCCTGGTGGGACTCCTGCCTCCCTCCTTAGTGAAAAGTCAATGTTCCATCCATCAGCTAATAGAAGTATTACTAACCCTATACTAATAAAAAGTAACCACTAATTACCATTTAATAACCATATTGATCACTATGCTAGTAACAATGTAATTATTCAAAAATTGGAATAAAATAGCTTTGCCTGCAGCTCCCAAAGTGGAGTACACACGCCCATGGCCCCTTTATTACACACTGACCGTACGCCCATCAGAAATGCATACATAGGGCTCCTGGTTGGCTCAGTGGGTTAAAGCCTCTGCCTTCAGCTCAGGTCATGATCCCAGCGTCCTGGGATCCAGCCCCGCATCGGGATCTCTGCTCAACAGGGAGCCTGCTTCCCTTCCTCTCCCTCTGCCTGCCTCTCTGCCTACTTGTGATCTCTGTCTGTCAAATAAATAAATAAGATCTTAAAAAAAAAAAAGAAAGAAATGCATACATATATATATCAAAGATAGGTACGAGAACAGTCACCAGTCATAACAGCATTATGTACGATAGCCAAATGCTGGAAACTGCCCAAATGTCCATCAACAGTGCACGGATAAATACGTGATCTATTATTCACCCAATGGCTGGAATCAGCAACAAGAGTGAGCACGCTACAACGAGAGGCAGCACCATGAGTGAGTACCAGAAACCTAACTCATGAGGGAAGATGTTCTCCCAGACACTGCAGGATCCTTGGGGAGGTAGGGACCCGCAGGGAGCACACAGGGAGCTCCTGCTTCTTGATCTGAGTGCAGGGCTGTGTTCAGTTTGGAGAACATTTGTGAACAGTACACTTACAGTATGTCTACTTTTCTATTGTGTATGCCAAAGAAAGAAAGAAGCAAGCCTAGGTAAGACAAGCCTGGTAGTGTCCTTGGACTCCTCTAATCTCATTTGTCTCTCACTCCCATGCACATCTTCCTTGCTCCCCCCACTCCCCACCCCCCAGCATGTGTGCTTAAAGTCTCTCTCCTTGGGGAGCCCACCTGTCAGCACCATACTTATGGTTTCTTCTCACACCAGGCTGGTGACTTGTGGCCCCATCCCCATTTTGAATGCCTTTGCTAACTCAGGTCATTTACGCTGATCCAGCCCTAGCTTTTCCTTTCTGGGCAGTTGGAAAGTTTGTACCATCATTGTGTATCTTCCCAGCTGTTTTATTCTGCCAACACTGCGCAGCTAGACTAAAGACACAGAGCATGCCCTCTGGGAATGATCTCAACCCTCCATAGGCAGTTCAGATTAAATTGTTCCTCAGGAGCTAGAAGGGTGTGGAAGATGAGCCTCGATCCTTCTCCCAGGAACTGCTGGCTCCAAGACACACTCCTCTGCCCACACCCCTCCGCCCCAGAACCTGGATGGAATCCCACAGAGAACTCGGAACATCTTTTTATTGTCTGTTCCCCTCCCCAGAGCCAACCTGCTAGATACATTTTCCCCACTGCTGCCAAATAGCAAGGGGCTAACTTGGCAGTTTGTGCCAAAATCATAAGCATTTTCAAAATACGTAGTCATAAACGTTGAGTTTTTGGAATTTACGCCTGTTGGCCCTCTCACTCTTCCATTAACCCCCTTATGCTTTCTCATCTCACCCATTTCTTTTCTGGCCTGAGGAAGAAATGGCTATAGATCATAACTAAGGTTCATTTCATTTTACAAAAACAGCAGCATGCACATAATGGACAGACACGAAAAAATACTCGTGACATCCTGGTTATGGGGCTCTGGCAGCTCGCAGGCATCTCCTGTCCAAGCAAGCACTGGTTAGAATTTAGGTGATCGTAGCTCTAAGACTAGAAATGTAAGACATTCTTCTAAGCTGTCAAACTCTCCAGATTACACAAGCGAAACCACAACGGATGGTGTTTTTGAGTCTGTGCTCCTTTACTCAACAGACGGATTTCTCTTCCAGTTTCAGGACATGCAGCCCACTACGGAAGAGGATTAGCAGTTATAAACCAAGAGGAGAGGGAGGCTAAACACCAGAGGGCCAGAGATGAGTCTCCTTCCTCTTCCAAACCCCAGCACCCAGCTCCCTGCTTGGCACCACAAGCAGGCAACCAAAGGGTGCCAGATTAAACGCAGCACATGAAACTATTTTCTCTTTTAGAAGAACCATACCTAATTAAGCAAAGGCCACGAACACGAATTAAGACATGAGGATATCAAATTCATTTTTCCAAATTATCTCCTGATCTGCAGGACCCTCTCTTCACTGGCCAACACATTCTTCAGTCAGAACCACTGATCCAGAGGCCTGGAAGGGACCACAGCCATCAGCAGCTCAAACCTCCCAGTAGAGACCAGGAGATAGAGCCCCACCTGGGGACCAGTGTCGGCCAAGGTCACCCAGCTCTTGTGGAGCAGGGACAAGATCCCGCCTCTCCCTATTCGCCCGGTTCCTCTGAGAGATGCCCTAGGAAAACCTTATGTTACTTACACACTAACGGTGTATAATGAATGCATGCCCACGTCAAGTCACCTACAATTCAGAGGAAATCAAAGGGTCACCAAAACGTGCCTCTTCCGTAGGGCTGCAGAGAGGGGGCAAGAAATGTCACTGCCGAATTTCTACCTACAGACGCCACACATCGTGCCTTTCCGAAGGATGAAATGAGCAGTTTGGGAACCTCCTAATTACCCTGCAAAGGGTCCCCCAGTCCCGTTCCAGGATAATGAGTTAACTCTGCTCCGCCGGCTAGGAAGCTTCCAGCAATGAATTAAACCCCGAGCCGCTGCGGGAAGCCGGGGGAGAAAGGACCACTGCGGCTGGACCTGACATCCTGGGGGTTCACCCCTGTGCCTCTAACCACGTCCACGCTGGCGCGACGCCCCCCGCCCCGTCCACGGGGCCCGAGACCACGATTCTCAGCCCGCGCCACCGCGAGGCGCGTCTAGGGGCGCCGTGCCCTAGGCGCTGCCCGCGGGGGCCGAGGCGGAGCCGCCCGGCCAGCGAGGTAGGGGCAGGGACTGATCATCGCCGCCGCCGCCGCCGCCCCCAGCCCGCGGGCCCCGCTACGCCGAGGAGGGGGCTGCGCCACTTACCTCGGCCGGCAGGTGCCGCCGCCACCGACTCTGTTCGCAGCTGCAGGGGACGCCGCTCCGCGCAGCCCGCCGCCTTCGTCCGCATGCTAGGGAGGGGGCGCCGGCCGGCCGCCAGTCCCGGGCCCCGCGCCCCCGCCCGTCCCCGGCGCCGCGCTCGCGCCCATTCAGCGCCGGACCATCCGCTCCCCCGCACGGATGCGGAGGAGGGACGTGGGGCGGGGCCTGGAGTCACGAGGACAGGAGAGACCAATCCGAACTCGCGAGGGGGGGGGGGTCCCGCGGCGGCCCCGCCCCCGGGACGCGCGACCCCTCCACCCAGCATGGCTGGGGAACCCCGAGGGTAGGCTGGGAGGAGCCAGGGTGTCGAGCTCCCACGGCTCACTGGAAGTCTGCGTGCGGTTAGCTGATGAAGGAACAAAAGGTACAGCTGGACTGGTTGTAGGCTTTTACTGCGCTTAGGACTGGTACTTGCGGAGCCGGTGGATGGAGGGGCTTTACGTAGTCACGTGCTTCACTTGCCAGCACAACACCTCGGGCTCACCAGGGTTCAGAATTCCTGGGGCCATGAGACCCTTGAGAACTACACCAGGGCAGCCTGGGCGTGTGTCTGGGGACTTGCAAAACATCTTTTTATTGTTCCACGTGTCCAAGAAGAAGAAAATAGTGCCGATTACCCACTAGTCTCACAGTTGGGTTATTGAGGCCCAGAGAGCACAAGTGAGTTACCCTAAATCACTGAGCCATTTGGTGGCAGAGCAGATCAGAACCTGCTCTTGGAGAGCCGCTTTCCATACCTCAGGAGTCTCCCTTGATTCTGGAGAGGAAATGTCATAGATATTTTTAAGGCATAAATATTAGTGAATCCCCAAATTCAAGAATGAAAAGGAGTTTAAAGCACTGATATGTTATCCCTTTAACACAGCAGAATGTGTATAGTGTGCCTGCAACATTTCTGTGCTTTAGCACTTGTTGGCTCCTCAGTGAGCTCGGTGAAATTGGTCTACCTTCAGAATTTCCTTTCAGGTGAACAGATAGAATCACGTGATCACCGGTATCAGTGATACCGGTTCCGGTTTAAAAAGGAAGATCCTAGACACTGAGTCAAATGTATTTAAGTCAACTGAGAACTTTGTCACTCTTTTTTGCAACAGTTTGTAAAGGGTTTGCACAGCTCCCAACGGGGTTTGGAAATGTCTGTGTTCTTTCCCTGGTGGGGGCCGGGGTGCTGGAAAAAATGTGGTATCTGGGTAACAAAGGTCCGAAAGGGAAATCTTGAAAAGGAAAGGGTGGGGGTGGGGAGACCCTGCTGTCATACTTTCCAAAGAGATTTTGCCATAAAAATGTTTCTAGGTCATTCTAAGGTGAGGACATGGGTGCATTTTTGAATATATTGGAGGAAAAGCTGTCACAGAGATCTAAATCCAGTAGATTGGCCAAGGCTGGCCAGGCAGAGCAGCTGCGGGGGAGGGAGGGTGGGGGTTGGGGGGGCAGTCAGTGACAGCTTCAGGGAGAATGCTGAACACCTCACCACTTCTCTCGTGGAGACCAGCCCAGGGCCAGACGGCTTGATCAGATACTCTTTACCTCTCTTTGCCCCATCTTCTCTTTCCCTTTCTCCCAAATAGATACTCCTTGTTGGTAAAATGCCATGACAGCATTATGGCTGACATAAAGATCCAGGTGCCCTGGCTTGGAAGAGTGGGTGTAAGGTGGGTGTGAGAAAGAAAGGGAACTTGAATCTGCCTCCTGTCCCAGCCTAACGGGATGGCTGTTAAGCTTATGCTGCACCCACTGCCTCGTTCACCCCCTTCACACTGGGTGGGAAGAGAAGCTGACTTGTGCAACAAGACAAGCCCCTGCCCTGAAACATCTTTTTTCCTAGCTGCAGAGTTGTCCTAAGCTAGTGCTCTGCATTGAGATAGAGATCCTACCAACTGTAGATTAAGATCAGCCGCTAGCTCTCAAAGCCTTACCTGGAATCTCTTCAGGTCAGTGGCTCGTCTCAGAAAAGCTCAGGACCCTGGCTAGCAAAGTGGCCAGACTGTTTGTAAATCTGGGACAGCTATCATGATTTTGTAATTCTTTATTTAGCTCCTTATGTTCATTACTTAGGTCATTCTGACAGCAGACATTGTGGTTGCCCCCAGTATCTGCTCCCTCTCCCCCGCTTTGATGCAACATATGGTTTAGGTAAATTTGCCCCACTCTTAACTGTATGAGTGAGCTTTGATGGGTCTAGGTCAGAGGTTCTCAAGGTATGGTCCGTGGAGCCCTACGGGGTCCCTGAGGACCTTTCAGGGAATCTCTGAAGTCAAAATTAGTTCCTTATGATCTAAGATATAAGTTACCTTTCTTATTGATGGTGCAAAGGTAAAGGTGTGCAAAATACTGGTGCCTTCACACATCAGGGCACTAATTCCACACTAATATCCTTCACCGCTACACTCATGGTAAAAAAAAAAATTTTTTTAATTAAAAAAATGCGATTTGGTTTAAGAATGTTCTTGATGGAGCAGTAAATATTACTTAATTTATTGAAATCTCAACCCTTAAGCACATATCTTTTTAATATTTTATATGACAAAGTGGACAATGCCCATAAAACTGTCCTGCTGGGGACTGAAGCAAGGTGGTTGTCCAGGGGAAAGTTCTCGTGTGACTGCAAGCCGTACCAGCTGGTTTTGTGAAGGGTGGGGGTCATGGAACACCATTTTCACTTGAGAAAGCAACTGACAAATTACAGTCATTTAGTAGACATTTTCTTGACAATTAGGTGAGCCTGTCTCTCCAAGGAAAACAATGGGCTGTTAGTTGCCAATGATGAAAAAATTCCAGCTTTCAAAAGAAATGTAGAATGTTGGAAGAGTTTGTATCACCATGGGACAGCTTCTCAATATTTAAGGACTTTTCTGATGGGACTGATGGTGATGTTAACAAATATATGATTTGGGGATAATGGATCATGGATGATGCGCCAACGCTTGGAAGACCTGCACTTACTCAGTGAATCAGGGTTTTCCAGATGGCTAATGCCTGATGTTACAAAATCACAGATGGGTTAAAGATGAATTTTAAATGCAAGGCAGACAATGGACTTTTAACAGTGTGAAAAGTTTATAGATAAGGTTTCAGATTCCACAGTGCAACAAGCCTTGAAGATATGACCTCTTGAAGAGTTTTGGTATAGTACCAAAGAAGAATAGCCACAATTATCCTAAAAAGCTGTTAAAATACCCTCCTTTCCAATTATATATGGATGTGAAGCAGATTTTCTTCCTGTACTTGAACCAAAACAATTTGCAACAGATTGAATACAGAAGGAGATATGAAAATCCAGCTGTCTTCTATTAAACCAGATTTAAAGAGACTTGCAAATTAAAAAGTAAAGAAAAAAAGAAGCCATTCTTCTCACCATCTTTTTGTTTTGGAAAACATAGTTATTTTGGAGGGGATATTAATGCCTTTTAAAACATAGTTATTTCTTCATTAACTTGTTATAGCATGTAAATTTATTATTTTTATGATGATTTAATTTATTTTTAAAAATATTTTATTTACTTGAGAGAGAAAGTGAGTGAAAGAGAGAATGAATGGGGGGTGGTGGGGGGCAGAGGCCCAGGGAGAGGGAGAAGCAGATTCCCCATCAAGCAGAGATCCCAGGACTCTGGGATCATGACCTGAGCTGAAGGCAGCTACTTAACTGACTGAGCCACCCAGGTGCCCCTCTTTTATTAATTTTAATAAATATAATTTCTAATTTGGCAAATATCAATAGATTAAACCTCCATTAAAAAGATTATTTGGGATCCTCAGTAATTTTTAGGAGTGTAAAGGGTCCTAAGACTAGAGCTTGAGACCTGCTGGTCTAAACCACTCAGAGTCATCCCAACCTCCTTACCACTAGGATTGATTCATGGGTGGCCATAGGAACCAGACTGATCCAGTGAGAGGAAATCTCAGATTCATGGGGTGGTGGGAGAGAGATGCTCTCATCTCCAGCTAGACAGGAGTTAGTAAGTACCCCAGAAGCTACTGATAAGGCAGTCATTTTAGACTACAAGAGGAGCTTACCTCAGAAGAGAATAATGCTGAGGGAAGCAGAGAGGGAAGTTAGAAAGAAACCATGCCCTTTATGACGTTTTTGAGCCACTAGATCAAACCAGCCCTGTAGCCCATCCTGCCTCTATACAATCCAGTTTTATGAGTCAATGGAGTCTACTGTGGGTTAAACTAGGCAATTTCAGGCACCCCCTTGATGTTTTGTGTACCTGTTTTTTGAATATTTTTATCCCAATTGGGGCCTAAGGCCTCAGGATAGTATACTTTCTAGGGTTTATTCATTTAGCTTTTTCATCATATCATCAATGTAAGTTAGCTTCTGAAAGGAAGCTGGAAAGCAGAGCAGACACCTAACTCTGGACCTAACACAGAAAACTGGGACCTAACACAGGAAGGGGACCTAACACAGACAACTGAGGTCAAAAGTGCCAAAAATACTTGTGAGAACAATAAGGAACAGTGGCATATGATCTTGCCGAGCAAAATTATAGCAGATTTTTATTTTCTTTTGCTGTTTTGTATTTCTCAAATTGGAAAACATGAGCATGCACTGCTCTTTTAAGGAAAGAAATAGAACTATATTATTATTTTTTAATAGCCCTTGAGAAGCTCACAGACTTAGAGAGCAGACTGGCATCAGGATATGGCAAGCGACGTCTCGGGCTAAAATTGCTAGCAGGAAAGAAGATCTGTAAAGGTTGCCAATAGGCCCGGAAGACAAACTTCCCTTCATTTACAGCTTTGCCAAGAGCCAACCTCAAAGATTCGAGGGGATGAGCAAGAATCCCCAAGGGTTAAGGAATCATTAATTATGCCTCAAAGTGGCTGGAATATTTACAGTTGAGAAAGAGAAAGAGAGAGACCAATGTGAAGAGTAGGTCAACACTAGAAAAGGCTTGAAATACCACATTAAGTGAAAACAAAAAAATAGGACACAGATTATATGCAAACTTCTATCATGTGGCCAAAAACGAGAAGAGAACTTGGAAAAAGAAAACAGTTGTGGTGTTAGGGTGGTAGGATCATGAGTAATCTTTTTTCCCTTTGTAAGAGATGTCCTTTCATGTTGCTATAATGTTGTTTTTTACAATAAATAAAACTGAAGGGAGTCATTGGTTCCAATTACT